CTGCATGAAGTGACTGAGTCCCAAAGTTGAAAGCATTGCAATAAAGATCTTAAATGGGCTTGCGTGTGGAGCAAAGAACACTAAGTGCCTCAAACTTGGTAGCAAGAGATTTTTAAGCACATTTCAATTTACTGGTAAAGGGTTTTTTTCCCCCTAGTAGTTAGTATGCTGCTTCCTAAGTGGAAAAAACATGAAAAAAATTATGTATGTATGCACTGTATACCATATATATATTTGTACACACACACTATAGTTTGCTTTGCAGTTAAGAGAATAGCCATGTGACAATATGGTGTGGCATTAATAACTATATCAGAAATTGAAATGATAGTTGTCAAATAGTCTGCAATGATAGGCTACAGATTTTAGCTAAGAGCTCTGCATAATTTCAGGCTTCTGCTAGTTTTTTCCCACCTCAGAAACTCTGTATCTGTGGCCCTGAGAATGGCAGACACCTCTAGAAGGGGAGTTAATTGATTTACTCATATTACAAATCACGATTGAGGATCTGCTCTGCCCATCATCTTTCTGCCATGCCGGCTATGGTTTAGGTGTGTTGGCCATGTGAAGAAGAGCATGCTAAGTTAGGGCAGGCGTGCCGTCAAGCAGGTCCCAAGCAGTCACTTGGATGACTAACATTTAAAGAGGCCATACGCTCACTGTGCTGACTTAGGCGCTCTGTGACCCCTTCTGAGGAAAAGCTGGTCTGATGCCGATTTGTGGGCAGTGAGATCATGATTGCTGTTCCAGATGTCTTGCCATTTGGTATGCCAGAACATTAAATTGCTCCATAAATTCATGTAGCTTCACATTGTCAGCAGAGAAGGAGTTATTGGTTCACTTGGATACTGTAAATTGTCATTCAGAAAAAAATCTGTCTGTTGGTTACACATGCTGTGCAGGTGCCCAGCTACTTGTCCTGCCAAGCCAGACCGCAGTTACCGGCACTGCAGTGACTGCTCTGGGCAAGCTAGGCAGGCGCAGTGCTGTTGGTCTTATTTGAAGACAAAAGGATTGGCCATTTTTGCTGAAACACCACTATCTGCCTACAAACTAAAGCAGGGATTACAGAAAGGTGAGTTAATCGATCTTTGTGCTTCTAAAAGTGGCTACAAAGATTGAATAATGCTATGGCTGAGCACCTCCAGGGAGCAGCTTGGCAGTTAGCGTTGTCCCTCTCCGAGTTGCCCGGTGTCACCGGAGCAGGGATGCTCCGTCAGCAGGCAGCTCTCTGCAGGTGCCCAGCCCTGCTGGGGTCCCTCATCCTCCTGTTGTACACGCTGACAAACCTGCCTCCAAACAGCCACTTGGAAATACCTAGCGTTTTTCTAGCAAGAGCAAACAGCTAAATGCCAATGGAGTTTTACTTGACCGGACTCTGCCTTCAATTATCGGTAAGCAACTCCCAGCTTTTCAGGCAACTACCTCTAGGTCCCCCTCAGCTTTATTACACTTTAGTTTTAGAGTTTTTTCGTGAGCACACTGATCACTTCTAGCTGGCTGTAAGATATTATAGTTGCATTCCTACAGCAGCAGCTTTGCTGAGTGGCTCCCTGCAACCGCTGTACTTTTCTGTGTGATGATCAGTGCCGTGCTCACACTGGCAGCATACCTAAATAGTCTTCTAGTAGCACGAAATACCAGTTGAAAGTTTCACAAAATCTCTGACTTTTTGAAAGCTCATTTTAAACAATTTTTCCATTCATGTATCACCAGGCTTTAAAATGTGTTCTTTTAAATAGTTTCTCTTTTATTAAAAGTCAACAACAACAGCAACAAAACCCACATGAGAGTAATACAGGGTAATTTGAGTAATGATCCTAAGTTACTCTGTGATTGCTAAAGAACAACAAACTATTTGACAAAAACCTTGCTGCAAATAACTTCTAAGTGGAAGGAATGACTGGTTCTAGTAACGTCCAGCTCACTCCAGATATCCCATTGGCTTGAACAGGAGTAAAATGTAAATAAGAGCATGACTTGACTCCTTATATTGATAAGTGTGTTGGTTTTTTTGGTGTACATAATTGTATTAGTTGAAGAGAATCTCATACAAGTGTAAAATTCATAGTAAAGATGTCTTTATTCCAAAATAATAATAATGTGTTAGCCAGACAGCTACAAAACATCTACACGAGACTTTGGTAAGAAATGTTCATGGTAGCTTTTTCATAATTCCACAGCAAACAAAAACAATGAAGGAAATCTAAAAATGCAATCAAACAAAATTTTGTTTAAATTGTATGCTGCACAGAGACTCCTACTGTACATTTGTTAAGCCCCTAACTTTTCTTTCTTATTATGTGTAAAGCTTCTACAGTTTGTATGTTAGGAAAAAAAAAACAAACCAGACCATACACACAATGCTAAGATCTGATAGTTGAGGTCTACAAAACTGGAGTGACATCTGTGCTTTCGGTTCAGCGGTATTATTCAGGAGATAAGAGAGATAACAGTTCTCATTTTTATTGACTGATAATCAGTGGCTATTACACTACTAGAAAGTTTACAGTAACAATGCAATACTTCTACATATTGTATATCAGAGCTTTTTTTTCTGAATAGAAAATCAACCTCTAATTTTTTCATTTGTTTTTATTCGTGTTTTTTTTTTTTTTTTTTACAAAAATGTAACAAGCTTAAATATTTCTTTTATATCAAGTTAGAAGAAAGACAAATGATTTGTAAAATGTTTCAACAGAAAAACAGTGTGAAAAGCTGAACCTAAGCAGGAATCATCACACATTTCTGACCCAGTGCAATCTACGCTGTCATTGCATGTATTAACAAGATGGGGAAAAAAAGAATTTCCAACATTCATAACTTTAATGAGCCTAAGAGAAATGACTGGAAATCACATTGAACAGCCTCCTAAGAGAAGAAAAAGTATATGGAGAATCAAATTAGTAAAAGCTAAGGTGAAAGGAATGCCAGATCGTTTTAATGGACAATTCTGTGGGCACATTCAGAAAGATGTTGTATATTTCCTACATGCCTAAAGGTGTATTTGGACTATGAGGCCTTTGGCAAAGGGAGTAATTAAAGGACAAAACAGCTTGATGAACTGGAACAAACATGAAAATTAAAATACAACATTGTTTTAATTGATTATTTGCAGAAACAGGCACAGTTTTCCAAGATTAGCTTGAACAAGTGGTAAGGGTTAATGAGAGAAAATATAGTCATAGCATTTGTTTTCCATTCAGGAAAAACTTTCTTCTTTTGCTCCCTCGGCCCCAAGCTCTCATAGATCCAAGCCTACAAAACCCACTCTGTCAGACCTTTCATAGTCAAAGGTTATTTTTTTGAACGATTTGCCTCAGCTGGGATAGCCTCAGCAAAAGCAGCTCACAAAGGTAGGTGGTGCGTGGGTCTTGATCGCATATGTGGCTCTGCCCTGGCTGAGCGCCTGGCATTAATCGCTGTAGCCCTTCTCCGCAGCCATCTGTTTCTTCACCTGAAATATGCTCAGCTGGTCATTCCTTCATTATCTGTATCGTTCCACTGTTTTTTTTTTTTGTTGGGGTTTTTTTTTTGGTCATAAAAGGGTAATGTGCAAGGTAAGGTCATAAATACATTACTTAGGGACAGTCTTGCTACTACACTGTAATGACAGTGCTATAGAGACATAAACTGCAGAATTTTTCAACAGGCACAAGGAGGCAAACTATCTGAATTAATATTATTAAATGAGCCAAGCTGTGCAAAATGTAAAATGTTTGGTTTTAGCATTAAACCTTGTTGTGTCCTTTTTTTGTCCTGGTTTGGTTCCCTGTGGGCTTGCACCCATTTCATTTGGCAGCGGCGGGAGAGGCTTAATGCTGCGGTTGGTTCTGTTATATCCCTGGCCCTCCCTTCATTCCAGATCTAAAAAAAGCAGTAAAATACCTTGAGGGTGTGGGATGCGACAGCTGTGGAAGTCCTGAGCAGACCTTGCAGTGTTCAGTGGAGAAAGGATGATGAAAAGCCCTACAGTGTAATGCAACCAACCTGTCTCGCCCGTTCAGGTACAGCCAGGTAATGAGAGGATTCCCAGGGTAGTGATGGTGAAGTTGAACAGTGGGTTGTGGTTCACATCAAATGTGGACACTTAAAACCCGGGGGTCAGGTTCTCAGGATTGTGACCAAGTGTTAAGGAAGCGAGTAAATTACTTAAGGCTGGTTTAAAGAGATTATAAAATAATTTTTTCTCCATTCATTTCTCTCAAGCTTATTTTAAGAGTCAGCATCAATAGTCTTTATTTTCAGTGCATTGTTATTACTTATGTAGAGACATAGGTGTATGCTGCCTTTCTGGGACCAAAAGATAACCCGTCACCTCCACCTCTCATCTTTAATGTTCCATTGTTAAACTTACAGGACAGTATTTTATTCCAACAGCAAGTGAAGTCCAAGGTCTCGCTGGTCCTACAGCTGATTACGCATACGGATGAGAGATAGTGTGAAATAGCAATTAGAATGGTGAAGAGCTATTTTCTGATCTCAGGCAGTTTGTTGATCACTAAAGTGGTCAGGGAAGACATTTAGCCTGCCTAGTATGTCTAGAAATGAGTAATTCTCACAAATTTAGCAATTTTTAGATCCTGCTTTTCTCTGAGTAAAAACCCATAATGACACTGCTGTAATTATATACTTGTGTCAATCTGTAATTAATATTTTAAGAGGCTGTCACTATCATTTCAGAGGCTCCCTTCCCTTTGTTTGTTATAAGGGATGCATGAGAAACTGGCTCATCTTTTCTCTACCGTGTTTATTATAGTATAAACCTCTTTCTCTCTTTGCCTGTGATTAACATCCTCACAAAACTGAATCTAATTTTTTTAGTGTGTCTCATGTGCAAGTCTTTCCGTGACACAGCTGTTGTGACTCTTTATGTTTGGACCAATGTCTATTAGTTCTATGTTCATTTTCAGAGGCAGCAGAAAGACCTAATATAAGAATACGTCATCTAAACATATTATGACATTCATAGGTTTTCTTTGTATGCTGTTTTGACTGTGACTATGTAGTTGGCAGACATCACTATTGAGCTGCACAAACAATTTCCTTTTTAAGTTTTAAAGAAACAAAGACTATTTTTCCTGGACTGTAGCATCCATGTGAAGAAAATTATATAGGATAATTATTATAACTATCAGCTTAACCCAATAGTGTAAAAAGATAAACATGCACCTTTAATATTATTGAACCAGCATTACTGAAATTACTCCTTGGCATAGTTGTATAATCACGTAGGCACTGCTTTGGATTTTCGAAATCAAATCGAGAGAGAAATCCTCCCACATATGAAACATGTCACTTTAACTTAGTTATGTTAATATGCATGCATCCCATGTCTTTACAAGTAGTATTTCTATATGGCTATTCCATGTCCACAGATATGTCCGTATTTTAGTTAAATGACTCATAATGACTTACTATTTTTATGCATTAAGGGCTGGCTGGAGTACTAAAGATTTACTCTCAGCATAAATCTGTGAGGAAATATTTATAAAATATATTTCTTGCACCAGCAAGACTAAAAAGCAAACCACACTGCAAAAATGAAAACTAATATACACTTTATATTTTTTTTGTTTTAAAAACCAAACCAAGGTTGACTTTCCATTTAGATCAGAGTGCATCACTTGGAAGCCTTGCGTTTTGTTAACAAGGATGAACGTTACATGCTCTTAGCTCCTTTTTGTCTTTGCAACTAGTAAACTGAGTACTTTTGGACCTCTTCTTTACCATCATGTAGCGTTCCTGAATTCCACCTCCACAGAGTGTAGAACATTCTGTCCAAGAAGTCCATGGTTTCAGCCTACAAACTGAAAAAATAAGTCATTTGATTAAGTTTTTAGTATTTCAGTCTAACCTACGTATCTCAGTATGTGTACCACTATGCATGTGTGCACACTTACATCTTTTGAATCTAAGACGGCATACTGCCTAGTTTATTACAGTAGGAATTAAGAAAACCCAGTAAAGTATAATCAAGTTGCATTTGTCAAACACTGAAAAAAATGTATAAAAAAAAAAAATTTACTGTCTATGTTATAAAAGTCAGATAAAGTTAAGAAACTGTTAAATGTCGGACAAGTGTGGACCACAATTTAGCAGTAATTCATATCCAGATAATGTAAACTATATCACAAGATATTGTGTTTCATTGATTTGAGGCATTAGTGCTTGATAATGCTGTGCTTTATTGAAAAAGCAGTCCAAACAGATCTCTCAGGGCAGTCTGAGTCTGAATCAGATTATTGAGGTGGAAATCAATTCCATTTTGGAATTTAGCATTGGATTCAGGAGCAAATACTTTCAAAGTTCAAAGGTGACTGGATGCAAAGATTATCACCCAGGTCTGCAGAAATTGCAATCAGTCCTTTGCCAGGCCTAAATTTTTATTTTTTTCACATTCCACACCTTGTAGTGAAGAAGCTAAAATATTTTCAGTGATGGGACATGGACAGATGTGCTCTAAACTTAGGTTGCATGTTTTTGGCGACAGGCAAACACTGGAAGTGGCTGTGCTTTATTGCTAAAACTTTCCCTCGAGTGAAATGCTGAATATGTTCTTGCAGGATGAAGTGGAGCTGCTCACAAACTCCTGTTATGCAGAAAAGTCAAATAGACATGAGCAGACTAAAAAATGGTTTCACACTCACCTGGATATTGGTCACTATCTATATTTTTTTTTGCTTGTTCACTTCTCCTTTTCTCCCGGGCCTCTTTCCAGCGCCTTTTTTCCATACCTGGGCCTCTCAGACATTTCCTTACTCGACATTTTGTACGTTGGACAGTTTCTGGGCATCCTGTTCCTCCAAACTGTGGTTCTATTTTAATCATTCTCGTCCTGATCATATGGCCCTTTCCACATGAGGTATTGCATTCAGACCACTGGGACCACTCTGTTAGTTCACAGTCGATGGCTGCAAAGAATGAGAAATATTACACAAAAGCCATGAGATCTAAACATAAGGTCAAGAAGAAACACACAGATGTGCCTAGTGAGTTTTTACACACTAAGTACATGAATGCAACTTAAACCTCCAGTCTTTTCAGCAAATGTTGTGAGGCTACACATCAAAATTTTCTGAGACCATTTCTAGCAAAAGCATTATTGGACACCGTCCCCCATTTGTTTTTCAAGTGTGGTACTGGCAGATCACTAATATTACAAAGAACATACAAATAATTCTCCTGTGCCTTCAATTTTCCCAAGCATATGCCTGTTTTATAATGAAAAGCTGTTAAAAAATGAGTTATATTTCCAAATAGTCTGATACCTCTGAAAGCTAAGCCTTACTTTACAGGTAGTGTTATGCAATAAGCAAGATGCACTAATACCATTAGGTCTTAAAAATTTTAGTCTTTAAGCACTGCTTAAAACTTACAACCCCAGTGAATAATAATCAAAATGATATTTCATATTATTTAAGAAAAGCTGAGTTAGCAAATTACAGTGTAAAAGCCTATTTTACCAATACTTTCAGTGAAAAATAATGTAATTAGTTGTAAAGCCTCATAAACCAGCTGGCAACAGGACACTAAAAGCAATCATATCTTACTCATTCAGCAGCGCCTTAGGCTATCACGCATCAAAAGGACTGCAAAGCAACTAGAAATTTGCACCACTCAAGAAGTGAGGGATTTTAGTGGAATAAGGTAAAAAATCAGTGCAACTGTCTCCACACCATCCATTGGCTCATATGATATGCCAGGTTGCGAAGGGACATAGATCAGTAAAAAGGCTACGATACAGTTCAGAGATGTGTCAAAGACAGAGCGAGCCTCTTCTGTGCTCTTTCTGTGAGCTAAGAGAATCACATAGGTGATTTTAGTCCTTCCTTCCTTCCTTCCTTCCTAGCACACATTCTGCATTTGAGTAAAAACCAGGTTTTATAATACACTACTGGGAAGTGCACAAACTGTTGCCTGAAGTTGTAGTGTGTTAAATATGCAGAAACTGTATACCCAGTGCAATATTGGTGGTCAGTGTAGGGTTAAGTAAGGCAAGCTGAAATTGAGACATGGTCATATTCCAGCTCTCAATAGCTGAAAATGCACGATAATAATAATAATACAAAAATTTAAAAAAATGAATTTGTAGTTGTTATCACTCCTATCTAAGAAAAGGTGCTAAAAATTGTCATAGAGTTTTGACTCAGACTGTTACACTCATAATTAGCCTCCTCTTTCCAGAGGGTGCCCCACACTTACGGCATTCGGGCAGCATGCATTTTTCTGCTTGTTCCAGCTCCTCATTGCAGTCTCCAAGCTCAGCAGCAGATTTCAGCATCCTTTGCCGGGTTCGCATTCCCTTCCCACATGTTACGCTGCAGTCACTCCATTCAGACCAAGCGGAGAGTAGGCAGGGGATAGTATCTGATATGAAAATAAAAAGGTGATGAATTCTTGTTATACATACATTATGAAGGTGTACATTTTGAAAATAATACAGGTGGAAATTGTACTATGTTTTATCTGTCATTAACCAATTCTACTTTGTTGTCTCTTTGGACAAAATGAATCAAAAGCTGAATGATGTTGCTGAAGAAGTTCAGAAAACACTATATTAAATTGAAAGGTTTGCTTGGGTTTAATACCTTTTCTTTGCTATCTTTTTCTATAGTTTATTCATATCTGCAGAGTCCCAGAGCTTTTGTGAAATAAATAGTTTAAGAAGGTATGTTTCAATCATAACTCCTGTAAAAAACCCTGTATTGTTGCAGTGGACAGAACTGCAAGTCAAATTGATATAGTCTAAAATGTGATGCTTCCATGTTTTATCTACCAAACACCTTTTTAAACTTAAGTTTTTCTGTCTGATGAAAATCTTAATATTTCTTAAGAAATTAAAAGCAATATTAATAGTCACCGTAAGGGGGAGACTGGCTGACTGCGCAAAAGGAGCACCTCGATTTCTGAACTCTTCATGGGTTAAAAAGGAGAGGGCACTATTGTATTCTAACCTTATGATTAAATATACCCCATATGCCATAAATTACAGCTGCTTAGGTATGGCTTGCTAATATACACATCAGTGTATGGGTAATACAGTAATAGGATACCACTGAGAATTTTTTACTAATACTCTCATCCTGATGGTGAATGTGGTATTTAATGCACATTACCTAAGGGATCTAATTTTAAGAACAAGAAAAAGCAACATTGCTTCTGGTTTAGCTACAATCTTTGTGTGATGGAGCAATGTGTCAGAAATGATGCCCTCTTTATAGCAGAGGAGACAAACTCATGGACACTTACGGCATTCAGGCATCATGCATTTCTCTGCCTCTGTGGTTTCTGCCTTGCACATGGATCCATCAGCGGGAGTCATCTTGATCATTCTGTGTCGTCTCTTCATCCCCGTGCCACAGCTAGCACTACATTCATCCCACTCTCCCCATTCAGTGACGAGGCAGCTGCTAGGGGCTATTCAAAATGGACAGAGAAAATCGTTCACTAGTAGAGCTCATATAAAAAAATGGTTTGGGCAGTGCTTCTGCTGTTGGCTGGATTTTACAAAGCTAAATAAAATACTTACAACATTCCTCATTTACAATACATTTCTCAGTCTCTTCAGTAGGCACTTTGCACATAGAACCATCTTCAGGGAATTGTTTTACATATCTCTCTCTAGATCGTGTTCCCATTCCACAGGAAACACTACAGGGGGACCATGTAATCCAGTCAGACATCATGCAAGTGGAACCATCTGAAATACAGAAAACCATTTCAATTGCTAATATCAACAGAGTTGCTGATAAATCTGTAGCTGCCATTTGCGTGCAGTATCACTTTTACACTGCCTCTCACATTCTGTCCTCTTCTCTATTGCTTATTTTATTCCTTTCCTTTATACTTCTGCATACTTCATGCACCAACTCAGATGAACTGCAGAATTGACCATAGATGGCTTCAACTGGTATTCTTCAGCAGTTAGTCCTCTGTTTGCCATAACCCAGGTCACACTACAGCAACCAACAGCTTTAAGAACTTGAAAGGAAGAGCAAACCTTACAAGGTGTTCTTCTCTTCCACCCTTTCCTCTTGATTACCTTCATCACTGCAGCCTGGACCCATGCATGGCTGAAAATCTTGGGTATCTGGACAGGGCACACTGAGGTCCAGCTGAGCTTTCAGCATTCTCTGCCTCATCCTCTTGCCCTTTTCACAGGTAGAAGAGCTGCAGGCTGACCATGGGGACCAGTTTGAATATATGCAGGTCTCAGGGGTATCATCTACAAGGTAAGAAAAGGCAGTGAATATTAGAAATAGTTTTCTATTTGCTTCTCTTTACTTGGCTAGTGATGACTTTAGATGCTAATAGGATACATTCTTTCTTCCTGCATTCTATCTTCTCCATTTTAGCCCAAAAGAAAAAAAAAAATTACCAGTTAACAACTTTCATTTAAAAAAAAGTTTTTATTTGAACCCCAAAAGGCTTCTCTCTCTTATTGCTTTCATTGTTATTGTCATCTTCCAGGTACACATGCAATTTCTTTGCTGTATAACGGAAGGCTAATAGTAGATACCAGAAAAGATGAAAACCTAAATCACTTTTTGGCACTGAGTGGGACTTTTCCTCTGAAGTCAATTTTGTACTTTATCTAGAAATGACAGTGGAGAATTGAACAAAATATAAATTAGTACAGCACAAACTAATTTGAAATTTACCTTCTTCTTTTTCCTCTGGTGCTAGATCTGCCACAATATCATCTATGTTATCAGGTACGATATTGCACTGCTCCCCCTGCAAAGAAATTATTGTGGAAATTGGATACAGGAAACTCATACGTGTACACAGCAAGAGGGCTAAATCAGTGTACTATGAGGCACTATTGCATCTGCAGTACTTAAAAAAAACCCCAAACAACAATTAAGCAGATACAGTAATTACCAGAAGTAGGAGAAATAATACCTTAAGACAGTTTTAGTTATTTTCTGCCATTATCTTTGTTGTGGGTAGGTTAAGGAGTGTAGATTTGGGGAGAGGGGAGAGGAAGGATTGTTAGTCTGGTTTATGCAGTGGGGATTTTGGCTTGCTTGAGAATTTTATATATATGTGTGTTATACCTTGCGTGCAATTCTCTCAATGACAACTCTGGCTACCAGCTTGATAGATCCTCCTTCTGGATCATAAAATGGACTTTGAGGGTGATCTAAGCTTGTAAGTGGTCTGATCTTCTCTTGAGGCACTGTAGGTTTGTTAGGAGACTGCAATCAAAATGAAAAAAAAATAAAAGAAACCAGTAATTGTTATTAATAATACAATTCATCTGCAGAAATTAAAATTTCTCTAAAATGCTAAATTAGGAAGTTCCAATATAAGATGAACTTGGTACATTCATACTTAATGGTAAGGTGTTGGTTTGGGTTTTTTTGTCGGGAAGCACTTCTTTAACACCGGGATTCAGCCCTGAAGCTTGCGTTCACAATAAGATGTGTGCCTTGTGTGTGTGGTTAGATAACTACAATAATAAAAAGAATTATTCAATATGTCTCCAGACCTGCATTATAACTGAAGAAATTCCTTAGGTTCTAAAGAGACCAGGTCTGAAAGAGAAAAACCAGCCATCTTCTGTCATCTGAAGAGGGAATATGCGTGGTATTCGAGGATGTGACTAATCTTGTCTAACTTCATCTGTCTATACTGTCTGTATAGACACATAGTGTAGGTACGCTTGTCACCTACAGAGACCTAACCAGTTCATTAACTTGACATAACTAATTCGGTCAAAACCAGGCCTTTACCTGAGGATGATGTGAATCTCTTCCTAGCCTGCGAAAGTGATGGAGACAGAGAAAGTGGACGATTTTAAAGTCTTGTAGTGACAAGAAGTCCAGAGTTTCAATCCCTGCTGTAAGGAATAGTTAACTTTTCTGTGCCAAACAGAATAGTTGGCATTGGGTTGAAACAGTAGAACCCAAGTTGGTGTGGTTGCTGATGGTACACGGATATGTATCAAAGCGGTTGGATGCCTTTATGCTTAGTTTTGAGCAAACTAAGTTCTCCATTTATTCAATAGGTGAATATAATAATATCCCAGGTGAATGTAATATTATCCTATTAATAACAGCGCTCAGGAAACTGAGACACAATGACCGACAGTAACTGTAGCTAGCATCTGACTAAATGACTTTTAATTCATTAGAAGAAAAATTTTTACTAGAGCAGTATAATGGCATATTTGGCATTACTGTGAATCAAATAGCTTTCATCCTTCACTGCTTTAAGGTAAACCTTATGTTTTGGATATATTGCAAAGTCCACATACCTCATAGGTAACGCCACTGTCCGTGCCAGCATCCCAGGGTATTAAATCCTGAACGACTTTCTGAACCCATCCGCAGTCCTTGGTACAGAGGTCTTCGGCAGAGAGCCCCACGTTCCAGTCCGGGCTGGGGCCCAGCATGGTGAGGAAGGACATCAGGTGCCGGTGGCGATCAACAGAAAACTCAGCAGAGGGAGCAGCTCTCCTGCAAATTGGCCATAGGAAGACGATTCACAACTAAAGTCAAGTTTACTGCTAGAAGGTGATGAAACTGGTGCTTTGAACTGGGAAGTACTGAAGACTGGCTTGGCAGTGTGTCTGGTAGGTAGAGATGGAGAAGCAAGACAGGGAGGGGACAGCCGCCCAGCGCGCTCTAGTCTCAGTCTCCATGTACCGCCCGAGAAGCAGCTTTGACATCGTTCAAGGAGATTTACAGCTTAGTCGGTGAAAGAGATGTAGCAATAAAGAGCTGCAGCAGCATGCCTATGTCTTTGTCATATAATAATAACAGTAAAAATCTGTCATGACACTTACAAAAATTTGAAGTAAAATAGCGGAGAAATACCCTGAGGTTTTGACTGCTGGGGTGCTTTTTACCCCTTAAAAGACAATACAAATTCTAATGCCAAAAGTGCTTGGAAGTGCTACTGGGTGTATGTGTGTGAAAAAGCACTCATTAATAGAGTTTTAGTGCTCATGTGAGTGAGAGATTAATGGCCGTTGCCAGCCCTAGAGAGTCCAGCCAAGACTTTTGCAGGTTTCTGCCAGTGTATGTGAAAACGCCTCTATTCACCCAGCCTTTGTCAGCTGTTCCCTTAGGAAGAAATTGTGCAGAATCATGCAGCGCTTTGCGATGCTGACGAGCAACTATCACATTCCTATGCAAATGGCGAATAAAATCAGGCCTGAACTGGAGGTTTGTGTTCACAGATGAAAACCTGGACCTCTTCATGGCATCTTTCTCATGAACAACAACAAATGTGGTGTTATCTAAAATGTGATTTTGGCAATTCTGCTCTACCAAATACAGGTCTGTATATGTGTGTGTATATATAAAATGCACATACACTGTTCTTCTTTAGTCACGAGGAGTTTATTCTTCCTATAACTGCTTGTGTCCCTTTAAAAATGTGGCATTTCGCATATGTATTTTTTCTGGCTCATAGCACTCAGCACGTTCGAAAAAAATAGAACAGCCCAAAGACAATGATTTTGAGTAGTTATCACATCATTTCAAATGTAAGACATCTAAAGGTTAGTGTATCTAGTTCCCCTTCAAGAGACAAGTTGCAGAAGCAGTCATTTGCTCATGGGTAAAATGTTTTGGCCACTTCTGTTCTGGAGTATTTAGAAGTTGTTTCTAACTGTGTAAATTATCTTATATTGAATTAAAGATCTGAAGTAGAAGAGTTTCCAAGTGTTTGATAACATTAATCCTGCCTTTCCCAGAAAGAGATGCAAATGACTCTTTTTTTAATGACAGGTAGAACTCTGATTTCAATGAAACACTTTGTCTAATGTAATAAAATAATTAATGATGGTATCAAGCTAATTCTGTGCATACAGTATCCAGATATATTTGTCAAGTACACAGCACTGATTAGTCTTGAAAAGCCTGCTAACTGACTTCAATTAACTAAAGGATTTACTGCATTATAAGGGTTTTTAAGAATTCCCTATAGGAATTTTATATTTAAAAGAGTACACAGCAGAAATCTAAACAGTACACAGTAAAAAATAAGAGAGATGTGTGTTTGTATACCTGATCTTTACATTAACAATATGTCTAGTATGGACATCGCAGAATAGTGATGCGGATCAGCTCTTGCAGGGGAAAAGCAAGGGCAGTGTGGAGCTGCTGACTACGGCATCTGGCACCTGAGCCGGCACCGAGTTAGTCGGTACGTATTGCATGGTATTGCATTTCAGTCCTCTCTGCACACATGCGCTTGGAAAAGACAAAAGGGAGGCAGACACATTCATACCATTTAAAGGCAGAGGGTTGGAAATCACTTGACTACTTAGACCCATAGTAATGGAAAACTTTTGTCACCTGTTATTCTTGTGATAGGCATGTACAATTAAGGCTTTGAATGTTTTGTTAGGAAAGTAAATATTAATCATGTTATTAATATAAATCAAAATTAGTCCTGTATTTAAATTATAACTATATCAATATTGAAACTATGTTAAGGAACACTTCAGTAGACGATACTCTTTGTCTACAAGCCTTTGCATGTGCTAAAAGCTATCAGTAAACCTGAGCCTCCCATAATTTTCCAGTTTCGGAGCACTTCACAAAAAATTACCTATCTTCTCCTTCTTCTTTAAGACACAGTGCTAGTTTTATGGCCATTTTACTGTATTTTATCCTGTAACTGTTTAACACAGAAATGTGAAGATTGATAAAGGACAAATGGAGGCATGTTTTCTTTTCTTCCTTCCTCCGCTCTTGTGCAAACACGTACACAATACACACACACACACACACACTTTGTCTGCAGTGCAGCATGACATGCTAGCTTGGACGTTTTAAAAATTTTTATATGCAGTGTTTAAGAATGAAGTATTTAAAATACATATTATCATAAAATGTATTTGTTGCATTTGCTACTTTATTCCATTAATTAATTTCTATGTGGATACTTGTAAGTAAGTGGTATGAATACGAATTTAAACCACAGTTGTATAATATTGCCCAACATTCAGGGTCCTTCTTGAGTTGCTGTAATTAAGGAGGAGAAATGGGCTGCCGTAAGGCACAGCCGATAACTGCTACCTAGGGATAGGGCTAGGCACTGATTTGGCTTATACAATAGACATCTTTGATGTTTTTTGTTTAGGTTTGGGGTTTTTTTTTTGATACAATGAAAAATTTCAAATGTTTCCAGAATCCATATGAATGATGGATTTATGAAACTGGCAGGAACGTGCATCCTTTCATGCATACCTCAACAAGGTATCATCTGGCTCAAGTGTCCTAAGGTTGGCCTATGCATCTCCCTGAAGGAAACTACTGTAAAAATGTACTCAGGTGCACTGCAAAACCAACCATTTTCACCTCTGTATTGTCACCTCACCTGATGATAAAATAGGAATGCAGATAATCTTCTTTATCGCTGCTTTCAATAGAAGTATATATTGCCATTTTAAGGCTTTTGGATGTTATGAAAATATTCTTCTGTGACAGGCTGAGCATGTTTAGTAATGCCCACAGGAAAAGCGTAAAGTTTGTAACTGATGTGAATTTGCTGTAAGAGACAAATATATCCCTTTTCCTTCCTCTACACATGTACATGCATAAAAACAGTGGCAAATATGAGTTGCAAAGCAAATCCTAAACATTAGGTAAGTTCTAGGTGACAACCTTGAGAGCCCCACAGGGCCGGGGAATCCTGCTTTCCTTGGCTGAAGCAGAGAGTACTTTTCCACTGTGAGCCTGATCAGCCTGCTGGCAATTCCTGTCACACAGTACAGAGTCAAGCAAAGTACTAGATAGTGTCCTGCATCCTAATGTTTTCCATTTTCTTTTGTATTATATTTTCTTTTTGTTAGTGTGAGTTAGTTCTCCAGCTATAGGGATGCCATATACTGAGCAGCATAAGAGAATGCTCCCTTTTACTCCTGGTTGTGGGGTTTTTTTGTTTGGTTGGGTTTTTTTCCCTTTTTTCTTCCTTTTTTTTGGGGTGGTGGTGGTGGTGGTTTTATTTTTTAAAGGCTAAAAGAACACAAACATGATTTTGCTTTACAAGATTTTTCCCCTGAGTGACAATGTAGTTGCTATCACTGCTGGGGGGATGGTGGGGGTTGGGGGGTGGTAAGAAAGTCTTTGACAGACCAACAGAAACCTCAACTTGCTGCAAGATGTATTTTGGAGTGTTGAATCAATATTGTTGTGTTCTACTGATATCCCCATAAAAGGTAATAGAGCACACATAAGGAAGGTGATTGTGAAGTGTTACTGGATAAAACTAGTGAAAATGATATTTTGCAGCATAAAACTTTGAGGTTAATTTTGGTTTAATATTTGATTATTATACAAATAAAGGCAGTAGAAAAAGGCAGCCAGAGCATATATTATCTGGCTTTATGATACTAACCAGAAATAAACCCATTTGTAAGGCTGAGCTTGTACCATTGGAATCAATGTGAATTTTCCTACTGGATGCTATGTGTACTGTGTTTGTATAAGACAGACAGACATTTACCTCATCCATGCATAAAGAATTTTCCAGCGACACAAAAGCCTATTATAGAAGCACAGCTTTGAACATGAAAAGCATCGGTGTTCCCACTGCAAAGTGCGATGTAGTGCAGAGAATCTCTTGCTAGCTGTTAAACTCACCAGGCTGGCTACTAGGAGTGATTCTAGCTGTGGCAGCACAAATGCAAATAATTTTTTTCAAATAAATTAAAATAATGTATTAGATGTTTGTTATGCAGCAGCGGAGGAAAAGCCAACAGCCTGAAACATCTTCAAAAATACTGTACTTGTGCTGTGCTTCACAGTTATCCAAGTTCTGACTTGGGTGAAAAATGATGTTGTGATTAAGGGGGTATATTAGAACAGGAGGGCATAAAACTAATTGTTACAATAGCTGTTTGAAATAAAATTCAAATTCAGGTAGTCACATATATTATGCTGGGGAAAAAAATCTGATTGATTCCATGGATTTAATAACTATATGGAGCATATAGTAGCTTGAAACAGCTTATACCTCTCCAGGTTTCTTCACAGAGCTGTATTAAAGTGTGACCATCCTAAGCCTATTATTAGAGTTGGGATACTAGATTCATTTGAGTATACCAGGATCTGATCTCACTTCTGCTCAGGATAAAGTAGTAGCCTTTTCAGATAGGAAGAAAAAAGTGCAAACAGAAGAGAAGCTAATCTAAGTCTGATGACCGTTGGAGGTGGTAGGACCACATTGTCAGTGGTTTAGTGTCAGTTCTAGATGGTGCTGATGATGTGAAAACACTATTTTTTTTTAAGCTGAGAGTTTAGCTGCTTACATAGACCATGAAAACTGCATCTTTTAGGGTAATAGTAAATGACTTGCCTGTTATACCTCTAGAAGCAAAAGCAACATCCTTCTTTTTTTAGAGGCTTACACTACTTCACATATACACGTTCCAGGATGAACACTCTTATTTATTCCTCTTTCTAACTTTTTGTTATTGATACAAAAAACACATTTCACACTG